GGAAGAGCCGGTGCTCGCGCATTCATTCTCATTCGCCTGCGAGCCGCCGCGCCGTACGGTCGCGTTCTCCCACCAGTAAATTGACAGCGTGCGACAGGCAGGCAGTTAACTAACCGGCTTTCTGACGAGCGCTATCATCCTCCCCCGCGAGAGGGATCGGTGATTTTCGCACGTATGAGCCGACAGACGGCCTTTTCTTTTCCTCGCACGAACTATCGATAATATATACGTACAATTATTCGCAACATTTTTTATGCCACCACTTGTGATTGTTTTCATAGAAAAGAAACCTTTCGTTTGACCATCATTTGCGAAAAAAAAAAAAAAAAAAAAAAAAAAAAAAGAACGGGTTGCTGTCAAGGAGACAATTCGAACTGACAGTCGTCGTTCCGTTATCGAGGGAAACCGGCGTGACGCCGCTCGTCGTCGGAACGGTACCCTGCACGCTTCTGCACGGTGAAATTAACGTGGAAAGTGCCTGCACGCTCCGTTTCACCTCGCGAAGATTGAGGAAAAAAGAGAACGGGAAACTGAACGCTCGCAAGCTCCTAGACCGAAGCTTTCTTTTGAAATTCACGCAAGTTCCACGCGATATATCGCTGTAATATCTCGGCTGCGGTTATATTCGTCCTTTTGACTACTCGTCGCGTAGTGTTTGGAACTGAGACAGTGTGGGTTAAGTGTACTGTGACAGCTGCGGAAACACTTCCGGGGAAAATGGAGCCGACGAGAATCCTGCTGCTGATCGTCCTTCTGCATGCTGCCAGCTGTCAGAGTGAGTACTTTTTTCAATCTTCATGTATATACACAAATCGCTGTTAAGTCGAGTGTCACGTGCCGCCGAGGATTATTACATGATTAGCTTCATTCTGTAGCTTAATTCACGTGTAAGCTCGCGTTACGGCGAATCGGGGACGATCAATGTTTAAAGCTCGAGTATTCCTTCGATTAGTGAGATGAACTGATAATAAGTATATTGCGTTAATTCAGCGCAAAATTTAACGAGTGGTTATACGAGTCGACATAGTCAAAATAAAACGATCAAAGTATAATCGTATATTATAAAATTTTTGTTGGTTAAAATATTTAAAGGACAGTTTATAATTGTGGATGCGCGTTTTATTTTTGATCTCATATTTTGCCAAAGAAAAATAATTATATAAGTTTTTTACGAAAGAGATTTACGCCGATATTTTTGATTTTTATCCCCTTTTTTAATATAAGTTTGCATTGACATACGATATAATAATAATAATATAGTAAATTTGCGGTTAATTGTACAAAAATAGGCATTATTATACGAAATTTATAGCAATGTTAAAATTAATTGCATTTACTCGATGAGAGGAGAAAACTTGCTGTACATATTATACTTTATTATATATATATACTCTCGGTTTTGTGATATACACAATAATCGCGTTATTCGACGAAAAGATTTCATTTCTCTTAGCTTTCCAAAATCCCTGTCTAATATACGCTCCGAAAAGTGTGTAGCGTAACGAGATCAGTATTCGGCTCGCGATATATCTCCGACATTTTTCTGCGGGCTGTCCATCGATTGACGCAAATTCACGGTAATTATCTCGAGGGACGTAGGATGCGTACGGAAGCGCCAGCATCGTAATTTGCGTGGTAATGACACATTTTCGCTCGTGTCGCGGTTCAGTGAACCTTTTGTGAGAAGCATCGAGGGGGGGGGCCCTCCCCCCTCCCCCCGATTTATTCCATCTACCGGCGCGCCACTCCCGTCGGGGTGGATTCGTTCCTTTTGGTTTCGAGATATATCTACCCGCTTCTTCCTCATCGACCAAACGAATTTTATTCATAGGAACGACGCCATCGGCGCATTCCTATCACTCAACTTTTTTTATTTTGTCATTACGAAATGCGCATTGCGACCAGCGCAATCGAATATCCTATCACTTAATTGACTGTGTAAGAATATCATGACGACTTAATTGTCTGTGCAAAAAAAAATCATGATGATGCGCATCAGCATTTTATCAATGGAATAATTTAAACTCGAGCACAGAAGCAATATAACTGAATAAATTCTCTTTTGATTATACCTAACATCTAGAGGCATTAATAATAAGTAAAATATAATCTAGATATTCTGTCAAAATACGCGAGAGAAACAAACTTATATATGAGATAATTTATATCTTCCTCTTTTATTCGAAATTTCTAATCTTTTAGAGATTTAATGATAACTGCTTTTTAAGTAATACATATAGTAATGTTTTTTTAATCAATACTTAACCCATAACATTAAAAAAATTGTTTTTTTCTTTCGTGTCAACAAACGGCGACAAGAGAATAATACATGCGGTGATAATATATTTGCTGTAAAGAAAAGTCTGTAATTATGTAAACATGAGCTAACGGTACTGTAATTATCGCTTCAACGAGAAGAGGCTTTGCTTAGCGAGTTCTTATTCGTCCCGCGTGCGCCGTTAAAAGGAGACTAGGCGTAAAAGAGCGGACATTGGTCGGAGTAGAAACGAAGTTACGAATGCAGATTGCAAGTCACGATCGGAATGTCACGGTGCGCACGTGGGTTGCACCTTACGTTGCACCACAGCAGTCGATCGAGCCACGCCAGTCCAAGTCTAGAATCTGCTGTATCATTATCGTGTTTATTCCAATAGTTTCTATATTATTCTTTAAACATATATATAGACCATTGAGCGATGAAAAATTTTTTTAACGTTAGAAAGAGAAATATAATTCTTATACAGAATATTTCTGAAACAAGTGGCTTTTAAAAATCTTCTACCTAATTTAAAGATAAAAATGATCACAAAGGTTTTTGAAAATTTCTTTTCTGAATTAACATTTTTCTTTCTCTATCTCTATCACATAGTTTTCAAACTATTTGCAATTTGATTTTATATATTGTAACAATACATACCGATATGTAACATGACGTAATATGTAGAATTATCATATTATTTTATATATCTGTTTGTGA